AAAATGTATTTTTTAAAAAATTACAAAACTACAGTAATTTTTACACTCTTTATTTTACAGTTAAAATAAATGTTTATCAAATAAAGTCTAATGTTASAACTAATCATGGATACCTTTAAGAAACCCATCCTGCAGCGTCACGGGCATCTTTAGAGAACAAAACCACAGGAAGTTCTGTCGTAATGAAGCGTTGACTCATAAATATGTACAAAGGAAGAAGGCACCTGGGAGAAAAACTGACTTAACATGATGTCATTGCTGTGATTTGCCAACAGTTCAAAGATTACTAACCTTTTGCTGACCTACATAGTTTTCTAATCTAAGTCCTGCCAGGAATTAGTGGTTTTCTTTTCTTTTTTTTTCTTAAAAAAACAGTCAGTGAATGAGATTGTCGTGGTAATAAATGAGTTTACAGATAATTGGTTAGTCTGGTTCTTACTTCATGCCCTTAAAGCTTTGTTCTCGTGTTTTAGGGTTTGATTTTATATCTTGGCGCCTGTTCTTTAACTATCCGTGTATATGCCCTTGAAATACATGTAGAAAGAAGAAGATTCTAATTAAACATTCTGTATATTGTATGTAGAGGATTAATGATTGTTTGGCCAAATACTTAAACAGCTTTTACTGTTATTTAAGAAAGAGTTGGCACTGACCACATTTGAGCTAATTTAAAGCCATGTACGTCTGAGGGTAGCACAGTATTTACACTTGACATCAAGACTCAGTGTTGTTCTTCCTGCTGTGGAGAAATTGGAAATGTTTAGATAGTTTGGCATCACAGTGGATTAGTGGTTAGTTCTGTTGCCTCTCAGAAGAAGCAGAAGGTTCAAGCCCCGAGTTGAAAAAGGAGGTCTTTTTGTGTTTGCTTGGGTTTTCTTCRGGTACTCCACAAACCAAAACCATGCATGTTTAGGCAGCCTGATGTTTCAGGCCTTGAAAAAAGAGATCTGTGGTCTCAGTGGGATTTGCCTGGTTAAATAAAGGTTGAATAAACAAAATAGATAAGCGCTGATCTGCAGCAGGTTGTTGGGTTAAATTACAAAATCACCGTTTTTCCTTTTTAAAGTCTAGTAAATTTCCACTTGTATTAAAGCGTTCGATTATTTGGGACAAAACCAAACAAATTGGGACAACAAATTATCCATCAGCTGTCTTTTTTCTTTTTCTTTTATTTTTTTGCTGAAAATCGTGTTTGGAATCGGCCATTCAAACACTAACTGGCCAGCTTCTAAAAATAACACAATCTCCAATTTCCTTCCTTCTCCTTCACATAATAAGCCCATGTGATTCATGCTAATATTTTCTGGGTTTTATCTTGCAGAGTATCGGAGGTGGCTGGATCGAAGCTCAGAACTCAAGAGGGGAGGTTGGCCTAGTGCCTGAAGATTACATTGAGGTAAGCTTGATGTGTAGTGATGGTTTCCTTTATGGTCCAATTATTTAAAAGGCCACTATTACAGTGGGGTAGTTTTTTTGTTTTGTTTTGTTTTTTAACGCAGGCCAAAATGTACTCCGTTGTCCAAATTCATGCAGATGTTTTCCTTTTGATAATTTAATCCAAAACCTTCCAATTAATAAACAAATTCCCACCCCACTTCATGCTATGGGTTTCCCAGTTTTACCCAATCTTCACAATCGAACCAATGCAACAAAAATAATACCAAAATAATGTATACAAACAAAACGTAATCCTAAGTAAAACCACTAATGATCATTTTAAAGATAAAATAACTCCTACGCTCTATTAAAGATCTTGATTTAGCAGATGTTGTACACACACATCCCTCCAGTGTACTGTCAGCTAAATTAAAAAGGGAAAACAAAAAGTGATTTTTCAGTTTTTATCTCCTCRTCTTTTTTTTTGTCTTCCTGTCCATGCTTTGGGGTTGACTTTTGTCTGACAGTGAAATCACAACAGGATGTACCTCCTTCAGAAGTTCTGCTGATTCGGGTGTTTGTGTCCGGCTCGATCCAGAAACTCTGACTTAATCGTGTGGATGTGATTCATCTCGAAGACATTTAAGAAGAAAGCTGAGTCTGATTAAAAGTGGGCTCTGTGCTGTTAACAGTTTAGCTTCTCTTTAAACACTTCCTGCCACAACGCTGACAGTCCTGTCTGTGTTTGCAGAGTCACGATAGAAACCACAACTTTAACATTACAAACAAGTTCAAGTGAATGTATATGTGTGTCCTGATGCATCTCAGTAATCCGGGTAAAAAATCAAAAAGAAAAAAATTGTATAGGTCTTCTGGACGGGTTCTTCTCTAATGAAACGTTTCGTCTCTCGAAACAAACTTTGCAGAGTCTCCCATCAGACTGAGCCTTAACTTACACCTCTGGGAG